CGCAGCAGACCACAAAGGGAGCGAACGAGCAGAGGACAAAGGGAGCGGACGAGCGGCTTGCATGCTTTCGCATTCACAGCTCGTAAGAAATGCTTAGGTGTACCTCGAGCTTTTGTTTACCCGTTGGCTTTCTTAAACATTGCACAACCCTTTCCAGACGCGGTCGCCACGTTTCGGGAGAAAAAAAAAAAATTCGCGCGGTGACCTTACTTTGGCGGAGACGGATTCTGACCTTACACTCCGCGGTTACATTGCAGGATATGGGGGCGTTCGGTGACCTTACGATCCCTGAATGGGATATTGCTTGTGTTATCCTACTGTTTTTTGTTGTTTTTTTAACGATTTTTTTTTTTTTTTTTTGTAAGCCAAACAAGCTCAGACTTTGGGGTCGCAGAAATCGGGGAGAAAATTCGTCTTCGTTTTACTTTGTCACGGACGTCCTCCAACCGTAAGGTCCGCGGCCTCGTCATTCGGGTGGGATGAATGTTCGCAATTCCGGGGTCCGCGTTGGGGTACTTGTAGAGGTGGGCGATCACTCGGTATTTTTTTTGGGAAATCGATATTCGCGCAAAAAGTGCGGTGGGCGATGACTCGGGGTATTAATGATTGGGTTCGACAGTAACAAATAGAGGGAAAGATTTCTTATAAATTTAGCGACATTTACGTTAGTCATTATGACCCATCTTCCCTACTGTTGTTTGCTCTTTTGAAAGGGGACAAGACGACCCTAGAAGACTATTTGAATAACGTGAAACTAATCAAGGTTCCAGTTGCTAATAAGAAGACATAAACTGAGATAAATGTCTTCCTTTTTGCCATGAAATACAGTAAACAACTTAATGCTTGGCTCGCAAAAATAAAAAAATGCAAACTTAATAAAAAGAAAAGAAAAAGATGCAATATATATATATATATATATATATATATATATATATATATATATATATATATATATATTGAAAAATTTTGTCTGCTTATTGAGATTGTTCCGCAGTCTTATAAAATTGTTCGTAAGGACCGTTCCTTCCCGGGGAGGGGGGTCGCAATCGTTATCAAAAATAGCATTGATTTTTTCCAGCTAAATACGAAGTTCACAGTTGAGGCTCTATGCGTGAAACTTTTTTTTTCCGTAACTCATTTCTTCTTGTTGGAGCTGTTTACAGGCCACCAAGTGCTGGCATAGCTGTGATGTATGAACTTCCAGACAGGAGCAATCTAAGAGTTTCATGAATATAATTATGGGGGGGGGGGGGGGGGGGGGTGACTTTAACCTCCCAAACATCGATTGGCCTTCGATGACCACAGTGGCCTCTTGTAACCATTCCGATGCTTTAATTGATATAGCCTTCGCATACAATCTAACACAAACAGTGTCAAGTCCCACTCGCATCACAGATTCTACTAGTTCGATTCTTGACCTTGTTTTTGTTTCCCAGAATTTGTAAGTTGCCGATGATCACTGTGTGGTCACAGATGGCTTATCCGACCACCATATATGGTTGTTTTTGATTGTCCGGGACTTGTCCCCAAACGTTATCCTGACAAGAAATCGGAGTTTAAGGACTATATTAGAGCACAAGACGAAAGTATCGAGCTATCGTTCGACAGATTTGCTGATAGGGCTTCAGTTCCGGGATGCGATGTAGACGAACTATGGTGCACCTTTCAAAATGCGGTGCACCACAAGTGACAACTTCGTTCCTGAGTTCTCGATTAAACTCGCTCACGTATCAGACATACAACTATCAGAGGAGGGAATCTCCTCTGCATTACTAAATTTGAATGCAAAAAAGTCTTGCGGTCCAAACAAAATTCCTCATTCGTTTTTTTTTTTTTTTTTTTTTTTAAAGGTGCGCTGAGGGGTGTTCTAAGTTTCTTTTTCTAATTTAAAGCAGATCGCTAGAGAGAGGGGTGGTGCCTAAACAGTGGAAAGTGGCAAAAGTTATACCCATTCATAAGAAAGGAGATAAACATGACGCATCGAATTATAGGCCCGTTTCCTTGCTCTGTTCGTGCAGCAAGGTTCTAGAGCATTTTTTATTTAGTCATCTCATGTCACATTTTGAATCGAATAATTTTTTATCAGAGAGCCAGCATGGTTTCCGGCGTGGCTACTCTACGGTAACTCAGCTCCTTTATATAGTAAATAAACTTAAAAAAGTAGTTGACAAAAAAAAAAAAAAAAGGGGGGGGGGGGCAAATAAATGTAGTATTCTTAGATATCGCCAAGGCTTTTGATCGCGTGTCACACAGCAAACTACTTATCAAGCTAAGAGTGATTCTAGGGAACGATAAGCTCTTGCGATGGTTGGATTCTTACTTGAGCAACCGTCATCAGTTCGTTGAAGTAGATGGGGGGATCGGTGCTGGGCCCACTGCTCTTTCTTGCTTTTCTAAACGATTTGACGGTTGATGAGCGTATACACTGCCGGTTTTTTTGCGGAGGACTGTGTGCTTTTTACTGAAATAGCTTCAACAATTGTCAATGGTGTAACGAATGGCAAATGTTGCTAAACCTGCAGTTTGAAAAGTGTACAAATGAGAGTAACGCGCAAAAGGTCACCGTTGGGATTAACTGTTGCATACAAAACTCCCCTTTACAAGTTGTGTACGAATTCAAATACTTAGGTGTCATTATCTCCTCGAACCTCAGTGGGAATAGATCCTGGACTGCTCAGAAGGCATCAGCAAAGCTATGGTCATTGAAGAGGCGGCTGAAGCACAGTACCCCTGCAACCAAGCCATGCAATCTACACGACAGTACGACCTGTTTTAGAAAACGCTAATGTTGTTTGGGACCCTGCGACTAAACTTAATATTGATCGACTCGAGGGGGTACAGAAGAAAGCACTGCGCTTCATTTACAACGAGTGTACAGAAGAATGAGTTCTATCACTAACTTGCACAATAGGTCGAAAATTGAGCTTCTTTCAACCCGGCGCAAAATTAATCGTCTAAAGCTTCTGTTTACCATTGTACATGAATCATCTCGCCTTTCATTTGACAGATTTATGCAATTTAACACATCCCGTCACACCTTACAGCAGAAAAAAACTTTTTCGTACGAACCAATGGAATAGTCTCCCTGCCAGCATTTCCAATGTCTCGTCCGTTCAGGAATTTTCCTTATCATTACAGCGTTATTTCTTAGATATGCAGTCCTAGATGCTTTTTCTTTCACCAGCATGTAATATAGTTTTCGTCTTGTGTGTTGCCCTGTGTGCCCTCTCCTGCCTTGGCTGCCAAATGGCAGCGGACAGTATAAATAAATAAATAAATAAATATTCTAGAATCTGGCATTTAGCAAAATTATTGATTAAGCACGTCAAAATAAAGTAGGTTAAAAAAAAGAATGTTCAGGATGCAAAGACTGTGCATCATTATTTTATTAAACATACTGTCTTGTTTATCTTTAATGCTAGTCTGAATTTATAGTCTACGGGGGACCCAAAAATTACTTGTTCCCAGAAAGAGAATGAAGGAGAAAGCAAACCCCAACCACAGTCCAGAACGAATCCCGGAGAAAAGCTCACCGGAGATAAGCTCACCGGAGAAAAGCTCACCGCAAAACCGGCGGATGCGGAGAAAAGCTCACCGGCCATTGAGCGTATGTGGAGAAAAGCTCACCGATATTTTTTCTTCTTTTTATATGGAGGCCGTTGGATCGTGCGTAACATACACCAATTTATTATCATTAAAATTCGTCAGCTTTGTCAAAAATAAAATGTCCCCTTTTGTAACATTTGTTAAGCTTATTGGGTACATTGCTCCCAAATTAATAATTGCGGGCGAGTAATTTTTGTGGCTTACTCTCTATGCAACGAAAGCCTAACAACTAAAATCTTTATGAACTTGAAGAATAGGAAAAAGTTAAAATAACGTAATGATGACTGCCTAAAACCTAAAAATCAAAGGTGTAAATGCCGAAAGTCCAAAAGTGCATGCGCAACAACGCGGTGCCTGAAATTCTCTTTGAAGCGTTTGTTAACATTTGAAAACAGAATAAAACAGTCAATAGGATATCGAGGCTTCTTTCACGGACATGCACGTTTTCTAGCCGTTCGTGCTGGTGTTTCCACACGCCGCCTTCGTGTGATAGTGCCTTCTACGGTGAGCCACCCATGACATTTAGAAGTGCACACTGTCACCGTCGTTACTCGTAAGCTATATAAGAACTAGTCTTTTGTAAGGTAGGTAGCTAATTGGGCGAGTTTGTAAACATTATACACGATGAAAACCGCTCAAACCACGACGACGGAGTGAAGACAACAAACACGACACGACGAAGCTGTTCTCGCAACTAAAGTTTTGTTAGTGAAATTAACAGAACGAAAACAGCGTAGCCGACACTGATTGCATTAACAAACATCTACTTATCTATTAGGCGCTACACAATATTTGGACCTCAAGCGATTCATACACCGCTATTCATATTAGCTCGCAAAAAACAAACCTCTTTATCTGACAGAGCTACCGACGGCGCACCCTCAGCTGTCAATAAATTGTGGCCTTTTTTTACCGGTGTACAATGTTCTGATTTTATACTTGTGGCTTCATTAATTTACAGAATGGGTGATTACTAATTTTTGAGGAATTAGTAAATATGCCCAATGAACCTCAAGAATATTACAAAAACGAGGACATATTTTTACAGAATCAAGCTAGAATCAAGAGTTTGACGCAGAATCAAGCTAAGCTAAAAAAATATTGGTGAGCTTTTCTCCGCATCCGCTGAAAGGCCGGTGAGCTTTTCTCCGCATCTGCCGGTTTTGCGGTGAGCTTTTCTCCGGTGAGCTTTTCTCCGCCGCCCGTCCAGAACTTACAACCGAGATGTCACCATTTCAGGCTTTTCTACAGTGACAGAGCAGTAGCTCAATTCGGTAACACCGGCCATGAAGAAATCAACCATAAAGGCAGGGCTAAAAATGACCATAAACCAGATTTCATAGTTTGATGGTGACTGTCCACATTCTAAAACAAAAAAATTCAATCCTTACCAGGCTACCGGAGGCACAAGGTGCTGCCGAGGCCGCTGCGGCCCGCGACGACCTTGGACAGTCTGGGAGCGCCAACCATGTCCCACTTCTTCAAGTTTGTGCAGGCAAGGCTGGTCAAGAAACAGCCAAACCACCACAGCCAGAGGCTCCTGAGGAAACTGCAGCATCTCGTGTGTGACGTGCAACCAGAAGACAGTCCTTATTCGGGGCTTCTAATCAGCCCTACGTTGCAAAACAACTCGGAAGAGACGTTCGACGTCAAGCTCAAAATCTTCTCTGAACAACTCCACAAGCCAGTGTGTTTCTCTTGTCCGGCAGCTACAAGGGTGGGCTACCTTGTGGAAAGCATCCAGCCATTCCTGGGCAGTCCCGGAAAGTATGTCTTCAAGGTGACCGGCCTTGATGAGTACTTGTCCAACGATACCCTACTCAGCGACTATGCATACATCTGCACCTGTAGACGTGTCGGCAAAGTGGCCTGGTTGACTATTGTAAATCTGGACAATGTGCAGAAGCCATGGACATTAGTGACCAGCGAGAGTTGTGATTTGGACATTGATGTCTCGGAGAAGATAACGTTTGTTGCCGTCAGGGATGCCTTGGAGACTTTCGAGTCCCAGGTAGAAGAGCTCATAGGCGTCGCTCTGTCGGTTGGCGGAGATCTCGTCAAGGCAGCAGGGGACATCAGAGCCAGTGTGACAGAACTTTGCCAGTTGTTGAACCACACGGAGACAAGTGAACTGTACCAGACAACTACAGACCTCTTAAATTTTTTCAGAGACACGCTGTCAGAGAATAGAGATGGTGTCGACGCCCCCAGAAAGGTGTTCCTTGTGACACGGTTTGTTGAAGACATTGAACTTGCAATTGCAAGGTTCCTTGCAATGCATTCTCAAAGGCGTAGCGTTGAATTCACGGTTGAGTTTCTCGATGAGAGCTTACGACGAAGACGCACCGTAGATGCTAACGAACTGTTCAGCCCAAAGGTTGAGATGCTGGTTCAGCTGCAGAAAGCTTGGGTCCAAAACTATGACAGCTACAGTGTGGACTGCGCGTTAACCTACGGCGAAAGACTCTTTAGTTATCAGACGACACGACGGTTGTATGTGACGCAAAGAATTTTCCAATGTGTAAACTTTGACGAGTACATTTCCTTCAAAAACATTCAGATTCGATCCCTTCCCCGAGAAACGAGGATGTATCTGACGGTCGTTGGGCACCGAGATGGAGCTGATCACGTCCTTGGTTGGACAGGTCTGAACATCTTTGCAGACCGAGAGCACTTCAATGGAGGCGAGTTCCTCCTTGGCCTATGGTCCCCTGAAATGCTGTCAACACGCGGTCCCGTTTCCGCAAGCGAGCAGAACAAAGGATGTTTGCTAGTCACACTGCCACATGTCAAGAACCAGGCAGTCCTCGCCAAATCCATCACCAGAAACGTGCGCGAAGTTGTCAGAAAGCCGTTTCATGAACTCAGTGCCGACGTGCAGCAAACTTTCCTGGACCTGACCGTAACTGATGTCTCCACGCCCTTGCCCACTTATGTTCGCGACCTGATCTGGGAGCACCGGCACCACCTCTGTGACTTCTCAAGCTTGCTGCCTCATTTGCTGAAGCTCCCGGTATGCTGGAATTCAGCAAACATTGAGGAGACCTACACCCTGGTGCGGTCTTGGTGTCCACTCAGTCCGGAAGAGTCGCTTACGTTGCTCTCCCCCACCTTCCCAGACAGCCTGGTCAAGAAGTATGCGGTGCAATCCCTGCAAAGCGTCGGCAGTGACGAGCTCTCCCTCTACCTTGCGCAGCTGGTCGAGTCTCTGAGGTTCCAAAATTGGGACGACTCCTTCTTGGCCACGTTCCTCCTGAGGAGGGCCCGGCAGAGCGTCCGCCTCGCTCATCAGCTCTTTTGGTGGCTCACTGGCATGATCAACGAACCGCTCATGAGGGACAGGGCGCTGATCATGCGGAAGGCCCTCTTCTTTGTAGCAGGAGAGAAGGTCACGGCCAGCCTCCTGACACAGATCGTCGCAGACGAAATGCTAGCCGAAACCGCGCGGAGCGTCAAGCAAGCAGCCGACTCACAAAAAGAGGAGGTGATGCGAAGAGAGCTTGCCAAGCTCAACAGCTCTTTGCAGGTGCTGAAGTTGAGGCTACCTCTGGACCCGGCAATAAGCGTCGAGTCCGTCGATGTGGACACCTGCTGCGTGTTTCCTTCCAAGACACTGCCCGTCAAGCTTGTCTTCCGGTCGTCCGAAGAAGCTGCCGAAAAGATTGAAACAATCTACAAGGCTGGCGACGACCTCCGTCAAGACGTTCTCATACTCACCGTGATTCGCCTCATGGACAAGCTTTGGCTGGAGAGCGGAATGGACCTCAAGATGCTCACGTTCAAGTGCACAACAACGGGAGAAAGCAGAGGCTTCCTCGAAGCCGTCCGGGATGTGTCGACGCTACGGACCATCCAGACTAATCACTCGGGCGTCACGGGAGCGTTCAGCAACAGGACAATTGCCGACTGGCTTTGGAAACACAACTCGTGTAGGCCGCAGTACCAGGCGGCTGTCGACAACTTCATCAAGTCCTGCGCCGGTTGCTGCGTCGCCACATACGTCCTGGGCGTCGGCGACCGCCACAACGACAACATCCTTCTGGCCACGTCGGGCCACATGCTGCACATTGATTTCTCGAAGGTCTTGGGCCATGCCGAGACGTTTGGGGGAATCAGGAGAGACAGGGCTCCGTTTGCACTCACGCAAGACATGGTCTACGTCATCCGGAGGAACGGCGGAGAGGCACAGTTTGTGAGACTCTGCTGCGAAGCCTACAACGTCCTGCGACGCAACTCCAGCCTTTTCCTCGCCCTCTTCAGCATCATGAAGCACTCGGGGCTGCCCGACGTCGACCAGGACGCGCTCGCATACCTGCGACGGTCCATGTCGCTGGAGGCGACGGACGAGCAGGCGGCGCGGCACTTTGAGAAGCGCATCCGCGAGAGCGTCATGACCCTCGCCACCAGCTTCAACTTCTTCATCCACAACCTGGCGAGCCTGGGAGCCAACACCAGGGAGTGTGCGCTGAGGCTCTCCTTCAACCCCCGTGACTTCAGCATTGCTGCCGAGGGGAAGATTGTGCAGCTGACTGTGGAGGACATCAGGCTGCGCTACCATCCCGAGCGCTACTACGTCTATGTTGTCAACGTGGAACGCGAGTTCCCACCGGCACAGTCGGTCATCAGGACCTACAAGAACTTCCTCGAACTGTACACCAAGATGAGTCGCAAGTTTCCCGCTTGCGACTTTCACCCGCTCTCGAGAGGTAGTGTCTTCAGCTCTGAAGGGGACGAGTCCCTTGCTCTCAAGCGCAAGCGAGACATCCAACAGTTTCTGGACACGGTGATGGCTCAGCCGGAAGACGTGTCACACTACAGGCTCGTGTACAGCTTCTTCCATCCCCTGCCGCGAGACCTCGAACTTTTGAACGGGGTTCCGATCACCATTGCCACTTGAAAGAACCTCGAGCTCACCACGTGGGGCCAGTAGGAATGTCTAGTGCCTGTGTTTTTTTTCGATTGGCTGACCATGATGTAACGCAGTCATCAGGTAGACCTAACTTCGTCTTGAAACGTGTGTGTTGTCGGTTCTCAAATGTTTACAATGGTTGTGTGCAGAACTGCCTACCAATATTGGTTGTATAGATGAGCCATGGCGCCCTATGAGAGTAGCACTTTCAACTACTGCAAAGTTTTTAGATGCTGCTTAGTGCAGCTTGTACAATAGAACAGCTTTTCATCTTCATATGTGTAAACAACCACAACTCTCAAGACTTCACTATGATAGCATTAAGTTATGCACCCTTGCCAACCTCTGTAGCTTCTTTGCTGCATCATTTTTGTTGAGCGTTTTTTAAACTACAAATTATCTGGACGACATCTATATTGCATGAAATGTAAAATAGTTGTCGAATTTTGGGTAAGAATAGTCCCCGAATCTCCTTTCAATTGATGCTTCCTTGACAACTTGCAATGATTCGGAACAGCCCCAGCCTTACACAAGTGTACTCAAAGAGAACCCTTCACCTTTTACGTTGGCATTAGGTACTAGTCAAACAATCTCTTACAGCAAAGAGCAGTGCCCAATATAATTTTGAAGCTATTTTTGTATTTGAACCCAGGACCTTTATTACAAAACTTGCCCAAACGTGAGTGTATATCAACAATCTGAAGCAGTCGTGTAAAAGAATAAAATGTTTCCCCATTGTATCATTTTTTCCCACTGGTGATCTACGAAGCCAATGTTTACCAACTGATGTGCAATCAAAGTGATGAGAGATGCAGATACCTTCTAAATCTCAAATACTTGCAGCAGAGGTGAAATATAGGTTCCTTATGTTTAGAGAAGTGGCGCACCCTGATAGTCACTTGGTTACGCACACTGTGTTGTGTCCTGCAGATCCTGCTATGTACCAAAATGACTGCACCTTGCTCCACTTAAAAATGTAAATGCAAAAGACATAAAATAAATTAGGCAATCACAGTCTTACATATTCACTGCGTTTAGCAGAGCCATGATCTCTTGTGCGTACAACCGACAGCTTGATTAGTTTTAAAGTCAAAATTCATCATATTCCACATTTTACGAAGGCAATGAACATCTGACTTATTTATATGTATAAAGTACTCTTTATTTCAGTACGTCCATGGTATCGCTCTAGAAAGAAAATGAAAAGGTTAGGCCAGGTAATTCGAGTTAGACAGAAATCAACAACAACAAAACGAAAACTGTACATTATTGTTTACAAACATATCCTGCAATCTCTACAGACGCACAAAATGTTAGCTTCTTGTTTCTGTCGAGACTCTATTTCCGACGAAACCGTGCCACATAATTTTAACATTCTTTTAATGTTGCCGTCGGCCTGATGCATGCGACATGAAGTTTGTGTAATGACTTCGAGGAATTGAGAAAAAATTGCGACTAAGTGGCTTCATAATTGACCTGGGTGAGCTTCAGACTCGACCGACTCGCGAAGTAATGACATTGGAAGCAAGAAACCGACAAACCAAGCGGCTTCAGACCGGAAGGAGAAGACAGAAAAGCAAGCAAAGAAATTCGGTCACAGTTTGTGAACTCCTCGGCAAAACGGAGTTCAGGAAAGGCGCGGATGCAAACGTACGTAATAATGGATGACAAGATGGGAAGATGCGCGATGCAAACGCGGGTGAAAAATGAAACTCAGTGAACTCTGCTCAGCTCTTCTATGATCTTGATTAAATCGTCGACGGTGGCGTCCCTCTTCATGCCGCTACCGTCGTCCATCTGGACAAGAAAACAACGAAAGGTGTCGTTCAAACATCGGGACGCTTCGCATGAACTAATAATGACTGACTGAATGTAATACCACAGCAAGTAGGAACAAGACAAACTCTAAAATTTCCCTAAAAAGTGGATTGGGTAGAGATACAGTCGCAGATTGATTTTTTGGACGCCGATGATTCTGACTAGTTTGATATTTCTGAACTGAAGGAAGAACCGTGACCTACCCAATACAAATAGGCAAGTGCACATTTATGACCGAAGTTTCGGACAGCTTGAAGTCCGAAAGTTAAATTTTTCAAACGAAATCGTCGCGAGCGATTAGCGAGAAACAGCACCGAGAAGCCGCCATCCTAGATTCTAGGTTGGCGGCACACGGACTGGCTTGGTATGGCAGCGGTAATTCGGTACTGCCAAGTCCTACCACTAGGTGACGCCACGCAACAGCTTTTTTTTTATCTAGCTGAGCTTCATTATCATCATCATCATTGTTATCATATTGCTTTTGTTCATTCGCCATTCTGCAGTCGTGGACTTGCACCTATCATCTCTTCTTGGTGAATCGTGTTTTCGGACAACGCTGGCTTGGACGTCATGGCCCCCATCTGTTCTCCCTCCGCTGCGAAGTGTTGCTAAGAAGCGCGGAAAGTACCTGACCGTAATGCTAGAAAAGAAGGCAGCGATTCTCAAGCCAAGAGGAAGTTGCCGAACTCAAGCGGAGGCGTAATTTGAAGCAAGGCACTATTGACAGCTTTTTTAAGCCCGCTTATGCATAATAAAGGCAAGTTTTTTAATCCGCTCATTTTTCGAACTGTTCTATAATTCGGATGTTTTTTTTTTCGATCCCTACAAAGTCCGAAAAATCATTCGGCGACTGTATGTGACACCGCTTTATGACATTCACTGTTCGAGTGAGCTTCACAGTCATCTTGGTGTCAGCTGCAAAAAAAAAACTGTCTTGCTTTGGAAGACAGGCCTGAACAGTGGCATAGCAACGGGCCCTGGGTACCAAGCGTCCCAGTCACATGGGGGGGTGCCAGCTCTGGTGGTCTCTTCCCCCCCCCCCCCCCCCCCCCCCCGCCCCCCCCCCCCCCCTCCGCCCCCCCCCCCCCCCTCCCCCAGGTTGGTTGCGATCTCGGGTAGTGAATTGAGGGGGGGGGGGAGGGTACAATAGACATAAAGGCCTCGGGTGCCGGATGGCCTAGCTACATCACTGGGCCTGAACCAAATGGAAACCCTACTTAACTTTATAATCCAGCGTATCAAATTCTGATTTGTGCAATTCTAAAACGCACCTGGGCAATTACATAATATATGTCTATGCATGTATTTAAAGCAATTCATTTCTAAAAATTTTACAGGGAGGGCACAACTTTTTGACGCTGGCTAGGAAAATGCCATCACATGTCTGCCCCTGCAAAAAGATATGAATGCAGCCTCACCTGTATTCCCTGAAGAACTTCTTGCATTTTGTCTCGACTGAGGTCAAGAAAACTCTCGATGAGGTCGCCGTCGATGAACCCTTGCGCTTGCTCCGTCTTCCGCTCCGTCGAGAAAGAACGCCAGGTGAACAGTCTTTGTCAAGGATGCTTCCCCGCTAGTCGACTCGCGGCGAAAAAGCACGTCGTCCCGATAAACAGAGCCATGCCCGTTACTGCTCCCATACTTTTTCTTTGTTGACGTACAGAACTTTGCGTCAATTTCAAAGAATTCGAAAAACGCTCACAGGTAGAGTTTACGTCAATGAGAGATTCCTGAGAAGAACTTCAATATGTTTGAAGTAATGATGACCAGAAGTCATGTTACAACTTAGTAGTTCTGATGCTGCCCGTAGTAGGTATAAATACTACTCACAATAAGGGAGCTTTCTTTTGCATCTGTGAGCTTCCAAAATTCAGAGATTTGGAGATTAGTCGAAACAAAGCTCCAATAAGCTTTAGATTTTGCCAAAGATAAAGTATAAAAAAACCTGGAACCTAGGAGCTAAATTAAGAAACAAGAAAAATCTCATTCTACTATAGAAAGGTTCCTATTCACCTTTTTGTTTTTGCGAAGTTAAAATAGTACTTTAAATCGTGCTTCAACCCCAGCCATCACACTAACAGAAACCAGAGCTGCAGCAGGCAACGTTGGCTCAACGAAAACTTGTTGCAACACTGTCTGCAGGGTGCAACAACTATACCCTCAGACAACCATGTATTTCACCGCACAAACGAGAGCACTAGGCATGAGCAGAATAAAAAGTGATCACCGTCCAGAAACGTTTGAAAATAAAGAAATTGGAGAACACTCGCAACTACATCAAACGGCGTTTCAGTTATGCATACCTGCAGTAACCACCTTACCGAAGTTCTTTCAAAGTCATTTTCAGGTTGGAACCAATGTTTTCTCTCGAACGACACGAGCCTGGGTAGCTCTGACCGCACAAAAGGATATAAGGTGTGGTCGATCTTGCCAACGCTTTTGATGACCTTGGTTAGGTTGCCCTGGACTTCGAGCAAGAAGTTGTAGAAGTCGGAGGGCAGCTGCGCGACCAGCCCTACAAAGGAGAGACACACGAACCAGAAGAAATAAGGCACCAGAGAAGGCACGAGAAATTAGCTTATTAAAGCACGAGATGCTTTTGAACCCCTATTTTAAAATTTGGTTCGCCCATCTGTCCGTGCATTTTCCACTAAATTTAGCGGGAAAAGTGGCATCACGTGACCTATACACCTTGGGGAAATTGACGGCATGTAACCTATACACTTTGGGGAAAATGACGGCACTTGAACTATAAGTCAACATCAATTCAGTTTCCCTGTTAAATTTAGTGGGAAATCGCTGTCGCGTGACCATTCAGTTACCCACTAAATTTAGCGGGAAAATTCACGTCTTGTGACCTAAACACCAATCCAGTTTCCCCGCTAAATTTAGCAGAAAAAGTTGATGTCAGGTGACCTGACGCCACGTGACCTACCACACAATCATTCAGTCTCTCCGCTAAATTTAGCGGGAAAATATATGTCACCTGACACACCAATTCTCTATGATGCATTTCATGCATTAGAGGACTTTGAAGGTAAAGTTCACTGCCAATTGTTCATAAAAACATAAAAAAAAAAAAAAAAAAAAAAAAAGTTTTTGGGATTAGGTGATTGCGAACAACACTGCGACACACTTCGAGTTTGAAGTAACAGCACCACTCTGCTTTGCCGATCGTCTTCCAAGCATGCAGTGCAATAAAAAGATGCTTCTACTGAGCAAGTGTTTGCGTGTCAAGGAAATGTTACAGAAAGCTCAAGCCCTTTAGGGGTCGCATTAGCAACATTCAAAATGAATTTATAGATAAAAACACTAACAATAAGGATGGTGTATTACTCTATAAAGACTATTTACACATTTAAAAAACAAGTATCACTAATGACTAAGTTAATGCAGTTGAAGACAGCAAGGTTTTGGAGCTCTTAGATGATGCCACCGACACCCTGCGACTACAGCATCACCCACCAATCCTGAAGTAGTGTCAAAGACGAGCACAAAAAAAATGTACAGTAATCAGACCCCAAGCTGCTAGGCTGACAACAGAGTGTGAAACAAGACGACGACACAATGGTGATGAAATCCAACAAAGTAATGTTGAATTTAGCCAACACCTTAGTACTCAACTCGCGGACTCAACTCCCAACTCACCAATGGCACCGTGAATGGTTCCAAAGAGCACCGATCCCTGGGTGGGGGACGAGGCTTCGCCGGGGTGCTGCATCACTAGTGATCCATGCCTGAAGATGTTCACAAACTCGCCCAGGTGGAACTGGCCGACCTCCTGCAGGTGCTGACGGTCTTCGTCTGTCGTCGCGGCACTGAAGCGCAACGAAAGAGACGCAAACGCCGTTCACTCCCAATGTTGCAGCTCAAGCCTGGAGCCACTGATTGGGCTACGCATACGGCATCGGCACCCCATTCCCCGGCTGTCTCGTAGTCGCTGCCATTTTGGTGCCTAGCGCAGAACGGGCACAACTGGCGACAGTTACAGGAGGAAAATGCGACCTCCCGAGCCTTGGATACGGCGTCAAAGAGACTCGGGCGATATCGTTTTGCCCCGTCGCGGACTATTTGAACGTTTCTGGAGGACGGGAAACAACATCCGCCGATTTTGGATAATGTTTCAGATCACTAGCAACAATGATTTTGAGTGCCAAGGCAGTACAAGTGTCGTTACTCCGAGGAGTAGGTTTCTGCAGACAACTTTATTTTTGCAGACTCGCTATTTCGCCAATTTCGCGAAGTCTCAATTTCGAGAATAATTCGCGGACATAATACTCCGCGATTTGTAGTTCTATGTGTGTATTCAGTACCATGAGGTGATACATTCAGGCGATCAATTTTTAGTGATATTTTAAAGTGAAACATTCTTTGGCTAGCTGTTCGGCATTTCGTGAAGCCCAAAAATGAGGTCTGGATGAAAGCGTGGTCGCAAGGCTCGACACCGATTGGTTGATGGGTGAGAGAGGAGGAGTGAGGTGCTCGATGCCGATTGGTTAACGGGGAGGTCATGTGACCAGGGATGGAGTGAGGAGAGGAGGTAGGCAAGGTTGGAGAAGAGGAGTGGGTACTGAAAGATCATCAGGTTTATCATTTCAAGTAACACATGCCACGCATTAAATCATCTGATGAAGAGCGCCTTGAACGTAGACGCCTGGCTGAACAGGCTAGACATGCTGCTAAAAGGTGATATCAACGTTTGTAATGCTGAACGTTCCACGCATGCAATGCAATCGCCTAGCAAGTTAACACAATTTTTTTAAAGTCGCAAAAGTCAAGTCGTTTACAGCATTCAGTGGCTCTACTTGGAACCGCAGTGCTACTAGTGACCGAGTGTACGCGATGACTTGCAAAGCTGTGCACTGCTACTACCGTCTGGGCATATCTGGCGACTCCCAAGATTTACGTTGACTCATGAGTCACTGCTACGGCCGGCTGTGGCAAGCTCACCTGTCCTTCTGGCACACAAACAGGTTGGTGGTGGACTCAGCCCCGAGGAACGTGTCATCGTCCAGAATCTCGACGGCGCACATCCAGTTGGTCTGGTAGTCCCGCGCAATCTGAAACGACAGCCAGTTCCACTCGTGAACAAAAAGGAGCATTTCTTCTAGCTGTCCTATAGTACTTTTTTTTCCTTTTCTAGGCATATTGAGATGTAGCGATAAGACTCGGAGACTTTTTGAGATCGAATCAAGGCATCTCGCACAACAGCGGCCATATGTGGGAAGGTGCCTGGAACGCGTTTCCGACTGCATGTTTCCCGTGTCCTTATTTCGTCTCCCGATTTCCGACAATACTCCGTTTCGTCTTACGACAGACCGTGGTGGATGCCACAAGCTGTCCCAGCTGATCCAATGCCCGAAGGTATCGCGTGACCACGTGCCCCGCGTGTTGCGGCGTCTCTCCCAAGGTCACGTCACATTAGCCGACGTTACCCATTGCCGTTTCGAGACCGCTTTCGATGCACGGGTGAGATGGGACGCCAAGTACATCGGTCCAAGACGCTCTCCAGACACCATACTTCTACCGACCAGCGCCAGGGCAGCGAAACCCCAATGCGTGGGCAGTGTAAAGCTGCAGTCACAAATCCCGTACGTTGTACGAAAGACACAACGTTCGCTGCAGACGAGACGACAAAAGTTATAAGCGAAAACGCCTTGAGCACATTCGAAGCATGTTCGTTTCATACGTATGCAGGCTTCGAACGTGTCCGCAGGCGGTTTTCATACGACCAATGTGATGTACAGGAAAGAAACGCGCCCCGGACGGGCCTTCAAG